GTTTATTGGCAGAAAAAAAGCTCTTAAAAGTGATGTTTCTAACACCCAGTGTGTATGGGGCCTTAGTGTTTTAGGACAGTGGTACCATATGTGTTCCACATATACAGTTGTGGTCAAAAGTTTGCATACCCTGGCAGAAATCATGACATTTTTGCATTGATATTGAAAATATGACTGATCATGCCTTTTAAGGATAGCGATCATATGAAGCCATTTATTATCACATTGTTGTTTGGCTCTTTTTAAAATCATAATAACAGAGAAAAAAAAACAAAATGGCCCTGATCAAAAGTTTACATACCCTGGAATGTTGGGCCTTGGTACAGACACACAAAGTAACACATGCAGGTTAAAATGGCAATTAAACGTTTATTTCCCACATCTTTGACTTTTTAAATTGCAATTAGTGTCTGTGTATAAATGGTCAATTAGTTTGTTAGTTCTCATATGAATGCACTAAGCAGACTAGACACTGAGCCATGGGGAGCAGAAAAGAACTGTCAAAGGACCTGCATAAAAAGGTAATCAAACATTATAAGGATGGAAAAAGGATATAAAAGGATATCCAAAGCCTTGAATATGCCGGTCAGTACTGTTTAATGACTTATTAGGAAGTGGAAAATTTGGGGATCTATTGATACCAGTCCAAGGACAGGTAGACCAAGAAATATTGCAGCTGCACCTGCCAGAAGAATTGCTTGGGATACTAAGAAAACAGGTAACCTCAGGAGAAATACAGACTGCTCTGGAAAAAGACGGTGTGGTTGTTTTACAGGAGCACAATACAACAATACTTGAACAAAAATGAGCTGCATGGTTGAATTGCCAGAAAGAAGCCTTTACTGCACCAATGCCACAAAAAAGCTTGGTTACAATATGCCTGACAACACCTTGACATGCCTCACAGCTTCTGGCACACTAATCTGGAGTGATGAGACCAATATAGAGCTCTATGGTCAAAACCATAAACGCTATGCTTGGAGAGGGGTCAACGAGGCCTATAGTGACAAGAATACCATCCCCACTGTGAAGCATGGTGGTGTCTCACTGATGTTTTGGGGGCATGTGAGCTGTAAAAAACACAGGTAATCTTGTGAAAATGTATGGTAAAATAAATGCAGCATGTTATTAGAAAATACTGGCAGACAATTAGCAGTCTTCTAAACAAAAGCTGCACATGGGATGCTCTTGGACTTTCCAGCAAGACAGACACCCTAAGACAAGGCCAAGATGACCCACCAGTGGTTACAGCAGAAAAAGGTGAAGGTTCCGAAGTGGCAATCACAGTCTCATGACCTTAATATCATTTCTGAGGTGATCTCAATCTAGTGATTCATGCAACACTGACATGACCTGGAGGCATTTTGCCAAGACGAATAGGCAGCTATACCACCTACAAGAATTCTGGGCCTCATAGACAACTATTACAAAACACTGCACACTTTCATTGATGCTAAATGAGGCAATGCACAGTATTAAAAACCAAGGATATGCAAACTTTTGAACAGGGGTCATTTCATTAGTTTACTTGTTGCCATGTTTTGTTTTATGATTGTGCCAAAATTGTGCTTTTAAAATTGATCAACTTCAAGTGAAGTAGCACGATTTCAAAGCTGGAGCCAGTGTGAACCAGGGCTAAGAAATAAAAGAAATGTATTTTGCCTGCTCACTCATGTTTTCTTTTAAAAGTGGTACTGTATATTAGTGATTCTCCAATGGTATGCAAACCTTTCCTCACAACTGTACAGTACCTAATGCCATTTTGCATATACACCATAAACATTATTATATTGTTTTTTTCTATACTATATACTGGAAAAAAATGCTAATGTGCATTTTTGGATAAGGAGTTAATTGAGACTCCAGGTTTGGGTCCTGAGTTTAAATCCCATCAACCACACTATTTGCATGGAGTTTGTACTTTCTTTCCATGTTTGCATGGATTTCGAATACCTGAAATACTGGCAGGCTAGTTGGTAACTCATCAGACTTGCCTGACTTGCTAGAGTGTGCATGAGCATGGTTGAGAAATTAGATTGTAAGCTTCTTTCACACAAACAGATATGAATACGTCTCATACATATTGTCAGTTTGTATGAACATCACACAGTTCTTGTCGTATCAGTTGTCAGATTCCAGCCTGCTTTCTTGATGTCAAATTATGGAGTATGTTGTAATTTAATATGGTTACAACAGACACATATTAGGAACATGAAATGTTGGAGTAACATACACTTTAATTGGTTAATTTGTTGCCTTACTGCAATCAACATTAACGTGTGTCGAAACACGCCTTAAGATGCATGCATCGATTCACCACAGTGGACCATATAGGTGTAAATGTCCCTGTTAAACTATATTTTTGTCACATCCCACATGGAAGAAAAATATATTTGAAATATATTTTTAAAATACTCTTCCCAAATATATTGACATATATTTAAAATACTACAATTTTGGCCATATTCAATATATATATATATATATATATATACACACACATACACATACACACATACTGTATGCTGAAATGCGTTTTTATTACAAAATATATTAAAAATATTTTTTAAAAATACATTTTCAAATGTACTGTATGTCTTTAAAAATACATTTAATCTACATTTTTGGAATGTAAAAAATATATGTTAAAATTACTTTTCTATGTGTTAAAAAGATAGCTGAAGAATATATTTAAAATATATAAAAACATAAATAATGCATTTTAACATGATATATATATATATATATATATATTGAATATGGCCAAAATAGTATTTCAAATATATGTCAATATATTTGGTAAGAATATTTTTTAAAATATATTTCAAATATATTTATTATTAGTGCACTATGGTTTAGAGTACCACTACTGTGATATAAAAAAGGCATGAAGCATTGTAGTGTAGTTTTGACATTAGTCTGTAAATAAATCTGTATGTGGAGTTCACTGAAAAGTAAGGATCATGGAAGTCCTATTTGTGATGTTTCTGTTGAAAGTGGTGGGAAGGAAGGATCCTTTTTTTAAGTTATGCCATATTTTTGAAGGCTCTACATAATTTCTTGCTAACCAAAAAGGACCCATTGTATATTTCAAAATATAATATTTCAGAAACTCTGCACAACGGTGAGATTAGAGTCTATAGGCTGCTGCTAGCAACTAACACAAGTGAGTGTGACGATAAATCAATTAGGATGCTGTGCTGCCACTCCTAAAACTGTGAAAAAAGAGTTAGAGTGATAAGTGAGTGAACCCCACTTTAAAAAGGTACGTGAATAAATAGGTGCAACATGCTACAATACACCTTTCTCCTCAATGAATAAAATGTGTAGTTCTCTGAAAAATGAACATAAATAAGAATAATATGTCTATCGTGCTACAATACACCTCGCCCCTCAATGAGGATACCCATACAACACTCTTTGATAAATAAAATACTTTGTGATGAAAAACATAAATCAATTAATGAAAACACCTATTAAATAAACATGTAAATATTTAAATGATAGCATTAATCACAAATTACCTGCTACGGTCACCAGCTATATCACCAAGTCACCATTGTATTTAAGATGTGGAAGGTGTTTTGTAGTATTGGGACTTTATAAAGATGAACTGACACATATATTGGATTGATATATATTGACCTTTAGCAAGGCCATTTTATTGCTTAAAATTTCAGTGTGTTGCATTAGGGGAAGGTGTATTGTAGTCTCTTAAATATTTACACGTTTGTTTAACAGGTGTTTTCATCATTTGATTTATGTTTTGCATCACAAAGCATTTAATTTATCAAAGAGTGTTATATGGGTATCCTCATTGAGGAGTGAGATGCATTGTAGCACGATACACATATTATTGTTATTTATGTTCATTTTTCAGAGTTGTGACTACACATTTATTTATTGAGGAGGGAGGTGTATTGTAGCACATTATACCTATTTAATCATGTACCTTTTAAAGTGGGGTTCATACACTCACTTATCACTCTAACTATTTTTTCACAGTTTTAGGAGTGGCAGCGCAGCATCCTAATTGATTTATATTTCAAAATGTGCATAAACTTTGAAATGAATAATAATATGCTTTTATAACTCTGGTAGAAAGATAAAACTTTTTAGATAAAGTTCTATAAACATTAAAAAAAACAAGACTATATATTCTATGGTTACTCATAATACCTTTATTATGTCCATCTGTCCAAATTACATAGTACAAAATAGCTTTTTGAGCATCATTAAGTGCTCTTTTAAAAGAGAAGATAAATAATTCAGGAAATAAACATACCAAATGTCATACCTGTATTATATTAGATAATTGTGGTTTTCTAAAATATCCAAACTAATACAAAAATGAAGTCCATTTGTCTTTACATTTAAGTAATATGTATTTGGTTAAAGCTGAGCAGCCTACAAAGTTGAATAATTCCAGTTGCGGTAGTAGGGAAGTTGATGTTATAGGCTGGGTCATGCAGCAATTTTAGTGGTCTATGGTTGAAGTATGATGACCCCAATAGTATGTACTTGAGAACTATTCAAGTCCATATTAGTAGCAAAAATACTGACATAGCATTCCATGAAGCCACTAGGAGGCTCTAGGGCAAGCAAAGTCAAAAAGTGCCTGACGTTTTGAGCTTACTAGTTATGCAATCTGCCATTGGTCACATTTTATTATTTTAAATGTGATATAATATTTAAAAATAACTGAATCTTATATTACACATATCTTTGCTGTGTTATTACATAAATGTAAAGGAAGCCCTCAGATAAATAGAACCTGAATATTTGCAGCAGGCAAAGATAGACATTGCAGTCATCTAAACTGCCACCTTATGTTGGTGTGCTTATATTCATTTGTAAAAAAGCACTTTCCCATTTTGTGCAACCTTGTTATATATATATAAAAAGCCCTTACATTGCAAGCTGCTAAATAAAGTTCTTGGACTTCCAGGTCCAGCTGAAGTCCTCTTGTGAAGTCTACTTTACATTCCAAAGTCGTAACATTATTTACTTGACCTGCGTGGTCTTTCCTCATATGGAGGCACTGGGTCCTGATAGATACTGATACAGGAGTCACTTGATGTCTTCAGGATTGCTTCTTCATATGGAGGAGGCAAACATATGGTAAGAAAAGAGGCATCCGGCACCAGTGTACAGTACTGAAAAGGTTCTGAGCTCCAAGGTAAGGTGGAAAAGAAGTCATTTTCTCTGTCTGGAAGGTTCTCCTGGAGACTTATGGCAAAGATTTGACCTTGTGGGATCTTACGTCGACACCTCCGATAAAGGAACAGCACGAAGAACCCTATCACTAGTAATGCAGTTGTAGGGAGTATGATGCACAGGAATGGCTGTAAGTCTTCTTTGGTGGAATTGATTTCATTGGGGTGCTTGCTCTGCATAAAGAAAGTAGGAGAAGCCTTTTTCACCAATGTTTATTATATTAGCCAATTAAAACTGTGATGCAAACCAACATTTATTATTCCTGCAATGCACTTGTTAACAATGTACAACTCAGCTACATGGATTTAAATAGGTCTGTAATAATTAGGTCATACTGTATATGGATAAATACCTTAATCAGACCTCAAGCCCTAAAATTGTCTTTGTGGAGTTCATATACAGTACATTTCTTTATCCCAAAAGTGCATATTTGGAATTTATATGAAGTCCACGAGACAATTTTAGGGCTGAGGTCTGAGTAACGATCAGCAGCTGGCCCATTAAGGTACAATGGAATGTAGAGGCACAATCCAACAGCTAAAACAATCTTCTGCTGAGCTGTCTATAAACTTGCATTTTGGGTCATAGATATTTTTTGTCAGACAATCCTATTAAAAGGACAGGGCAGGCAGACCATGGTAAAGTTAGCAATAGGCAATAAATGGTGGATAAACTTGCTCTAGCTTTAAAATAAATAAAATGCTCTTTTAGAGTGCTGGCAAAAAAACACAGCAATATGCAGCGGAATAACAAATAAAAAACACAATGCACTTACACTGCTTAGCATCAGCCCTGAATTTTGAAAGCTTCCTTGATTCTTTTAAGGGTGCACTACTCTGAAAATTTAGTCTAGTAGTACAATGAGAGTACACAGTAAGTTTAGCATGTTGGTTTGTGATATAGATATTGCTTTAGTACACCAGTTCTCTTTGTCACTAATCAGCTTGGTCTAAAACCATGTGTGTGATGGAGGCCAGATATTCCTAACCATACCACTGCAGGTTAATTAATGTTGCTCAATTTAGAAAGCCTGAAATGACAGTAACCAAAGGCAGTGATCACATTCAAATCTTCCTTTAAAGTTGAGGTGCCTATAGGCATTAGATGACAGCTTACTAAGATGGTCCTTATCTGCTAAAATTGCAGACAAGTTGATGTCTGTGGGCCAGAGAGTGACTGCCCAAAGATGTGCTCTTGAAGGATAAAACATGTTAGAAAACCTTGTTCAAGCCCAAATCTTTGATAAGCCATTAGCAGGACTGTCTTTTTGTGGATGCTTTGTTTCATTGCCCTAAGCAGTAACACTTGTGAAACTAGAGTATTCCTGTTTAGGGGAAAACTGGTCTATAGACGTTGTGAAATGGTAGGATCATGCATATATAATTGCTCATTCACTAATGTCCATGACATCCATGGTGGTGAATCTGGTGATATATCAAGTAGTGAGGAAGTTGCACAGCAGAGGAAAACAACACCCCACTTGTGAAAAGTTTCCGAAAAACAAATTGTACTGAGCAACTCTATTTTTGGTCAAATCAGTGGACTGACAGTGGTTTCTAAGTAGCTAAAGTCATTAATTGATTAATCGTACATGTTGCCTGTTAGTGCCCTAAAATAATACTCTACAATAAGGTGGCATTCACAAATAGGACATAAAATACTAATCTCTCCTGCTGCCCATGTCACACCATCCACCAGCTCTTACCAAACGACTGTGTCCTATAGTTATGCAGTTGCCGGAGGGGAGAACCACAATATGTAGTAGTAGACCAGGAAATTGACATTCCCAGAAGTTCTACAGAATCTTCAGCCAACAGTTCCAGCAGTGAGCACAACAAGAGAGGTGGGTAATCAATGTCTACATTTCTGGGGCCACTTTACTTTACAGAATTATTTTACCAACAAAGTTACTTTAATTACAAATACTGATTAAACCCAGTTAAAGTGACCCATGCCTTTCCTTATCCTATACCTACTAAAAGTACCTGTACATAGAAGCTGTTGAAAAATTCCCTCTCTCATGTCACAGCTTTCAATCAATCTTTAGACAGCAGCTGTGAAAAATCTGAGTAAAAATTGACTTCAACTTCAGAAATTTGATCTGCAATTACATAATATATTAGGTTTAGATGAAATGACATAATAGCTTCAAGTGTATCTATACCCATATACTTATAGTGTTTGGTAGAGAAGGGAAGGATTCAAACTCCTGTCAGGTTTTACTACCATCTGAGGCTCCTCTGAAAAGATTAATTGGCGTCCTGTATAGTAAAAAGTGCCCAGGTCACTGATAACTCTAGGTCTCATACGAAACATTGGGGGCTGGGAGAACAGGCTCTTGATCACATGATCACTGCAAGAGGTTATCACAGTGATCAGTAGCTACACAACCTGTCCCTGTGTTCTTTCTCCTTTTGAATGGAAAAAAGATACATTGTAACATTTTCTCTTTGCTATAGGAGAAGCATGTAAAAAAGTATGTAAAAAATAAGCAATAAAATAGCCAGGGTTTGATCTAGGTCAGTGTCAGGGTTAGGGCCAAGCTTAGGGTTAAAGGTCAAGATCAGTGTCAAATGTCAGGGTCAAAGGTCAGAGTCAGTGTTTTTCTTTTTAAATAAGAAGATTTTCCTTCATTTTACCTGCTTGATAATAAAAAAAAGTTGGTTTTCAGACAAAAAAAAAAAGTGGGAGAAAATATTTCTCACAGAGCCCCAAATATCAGTAAAATCTGATGGGGGTTCTATTCTTTCTCCATTCTATCCAAGAAGAGAAAAGAAAAAGAGAAATTTAGGTATAGATACATTTTAATGTAGATCTAAATCCTAACCATTCTTATTCGCATCTCAGTGCTGCTTTTCCTTTCCAGCCTCTTTAGCCATTTGCTGTCTTCATGCATTCACTACAGCATGGGTTGCACGTCATTGCTCTTGACCAGCTTCCTGATAGTGACAACAATTGATCATGCCTGTGTAATGTGTGTAGGCATGGCCAATTGGTGTCTCCATCAGGGTCACATGTGATAGGGTGACAAAGCAGGAGTATAACTGGGAGACACCTCATGACAGGAAATGCCTGAACAAAGTAATGTAATTTAAGGTAGGTTTTACCTGTACTTTAAAGTGGTTGTAAATGTTGTAAAGGCTGAAGGTTTTTTTTACTTTCATGCATTCATGCTATTGGCTCCCACTGCTGTCAGTCACAGCCAGTAAGCCAATGAGAAGAGAGAGGGGGTGGGGCCAAGCCACGGCTCCGTGTCTGAATGGACACATGGAGCTGCGGGTGCCCCCATAGCAAGCTGCTTGCTGTGGGGGCACCCAACAGGAGGGAGGGGCCAGGAGAGCCTTTAGGGGACCTGAGAAGAGGAGGATCCAGGCTGCTCTGTGCAAAACCACTGCACACAGCAGGTAAGTATAACGTGTTTGTTATTTTGTCCTAAAAAAAAACAAGCCTTTAGAATCACTTTAATAATTAGGAACCAGACCTGCTGGCAATGCAGGCAGGTCATTTACAGGTGCATCTCATAAATTAGAATATCATCAAAAGTTAATTTATTTCAGTAATTCAATTCAAAAAGTGAAACTCATATATTATATAGATTCATTACACATAGAGTGATATATTTCAAGCATTTATTTAATTTAATTTTGATGATTATGGTTTACAGCTAGTGAAAACCCAAAACTCAGTATCTCAGAAATTAGAATAATACATAAGACCAATAGGAAAAAGGATTTTTAATACAGAAATGTTGGCTTACTAAAAAGTATGTCCATGTACAGTATAGTATGCACTCAATATTTGATTGAGGCTTTTTTTGCATGAATTACTGCATCAGTGCCACATCTCATGGAGGCAATCAGCCTGTGGCACTGCTGAGGTGTTATGGAAGCCCAGGTTGCTTTGCTCTTCTGCATTGTGGGTCTGGTGACTCTCATCTTCCTCTTGACAATACCCTACAGATTCTCTATGGGGTTTAGGTCAGGCAAGTTTGCTGGCTAATCAAGCACACTGATACCCAGATCATTAAACCAGGTTTTGGTACTTTTGGCAGTGCGGGCAGGTGCCAAGTCCTGCTAGAAAATGAAACCAGAATCTCCATAAAGCTGGTCAGCCGAGGGAAGCATGAAGTGCTCTAGAATTTCCTGGTAGAGGGCTGCACTGACTTTGGACTTGATCAAACACAGTGGACCAACACCAGCAGATGGCATGGCTCCCCAAATCATCACTGACTGTGGGAAACTTCACACTGGACCTCATGCAATTTGGATTCTGTGCCTCTCCACTCTTCCTCCAGACTCTGGGACCTTGATTTCTAAATAAAATGCAAAATTTACTTTGGACTACTGACCAATAGGCCAGTCCTTTTTCTCCTTAGCCCAGGTAATATGCTTCTGATGTTGTCTCTGGTTCAGGAGTAGCTTGACACAAGCAATGTGACGGTTGTAGCCCATGTCCTGGATACGTCTGTGTGTGGTGGCTTTTGAAGCATTGACAGCCATAGTCCACTCCTTGTGAATGTCCCCCAAATTCTTGAATAGCCTTTACTTCACAATCCTCTCAAGGCTGTGTTTATCCCTTTTGCTTGTGCACCTTTCTTCTACCACATTTTTCCCTTCCATTCAACTGTCCATTAATATGCTTGGATACAGCACTCTATGAACAGCAAACTTCTTTAGCAATTACCTTTTGTGACTTACCCTCCTTGTGAAGGGTGTCAATGACTGTCTTCTGGACAACTGTCAAGTCAGCAGTCTTCCCCATGATTGTGTAACCTACTGAACCAGACTGAGAGACCATTTAAAGGTTCAGGAAACCTTTATAGGTGTTTCGAGTTAATTAGCCAATTAGAGTGCAAAACATGAGTCTACAATATTCAACTTTTTCACAATATTCTAATTTCTGAGATACTGAATTCTGGGTTTTCACTAGCTGTAAGCCATAATCATCAAAATAAAAGAAAGAAATGCTTGAAATATATCACTCTGTGTGTACTGAATCTATATTATATATGAGTTTCACTTTTTGAATTGAATTACTGAAATACATTAACTTTTGATGATATTCTATTTTATTGCGATGCACCTGTATAATACAACCGGAAAAGTAAACGTAATTTTCCAGATAGCTTTCAGCAATGCTGTAGAACGGGGGTCTCCAAACATTCTAAACAAAGGGCCACTTTACTGTCCTTCAGACTTTAGGGGGGCTGGACTGTGGGAGTAGAAAATTTCCTAGGGTCACAAGTAGTAAAGAGTGCCCCATCTTTGGTATTAGGGGAGTAACAGTACTCCATCATTGGTATTAGTAGGAGGAATAGTGCCTCATCATTGGTGTCAGTGGAAGGAATATACCCTTTTTAAAGTTAGTCTAGTCTAGCAAGGCCCCATAAGATGCAGACCAAAGAAAAGATTTGTGAAAAGAGATTCACAAGAAAGCGGCTACATTATGGACAGAATGCGATACTCAAAAAAAAAATTTCCCAAAATTATGCTTTATTACACATTAATGATTGACACTCGGGCAATCGCCCTGGTTTACCATCACCTCAGTATGAGACAATACACACAGACTTAAAACCATTAAAATCACACCAAGACCGGTCTGGATACATATGTGCTGCAAAGGCTATGACCACCATAGTCTAAAGCATTTGCAGCACCGCACATTGGTTACACTCCCAGTAGGAGGTATTTTCAAAAAATTATACCATGGGTATATAATATCACATGGTATGCATATAAGCACATAATTGCCCGAGTGTCAATCATTAATGTGTAATAAAGCATCATTTTTGGAAATTTTTCTGAGTATCGCATTCTGTCCATAATGTAGCCGCTTTCTTGTGAATCTCTTTTCACAAATCTTTTCTTTGGTCTGCATATTTTTTGGCTACTGGATGGAAGCCATATATTGGGTGATACAGTAACTTATATTTGAACCTCTAAATCTATCTTTTACTAACGGCCCCATAAGATGCCCCTGGTACCTTTTTCATAGGCTTTTTTGAGTTTGGGCAAGGACACAGGGGCCCCATGATCCCCTATTGCCCGGGGGCCCCATGAGTTGTCAGTCCGCCCCTGGTACCGCCTATGGGAAGAAAGAGGAAGAACACCCATTGTGCACTGTCTGAGGACTCCATTTTAGATATAGTGGGGGTATCCCAAGAGTCTGTTGAGCACCTGTTTGACTTAAACTTAGGAAAGCCTATGGATTATTTCTTGGCTACCACAGTAATATACATATTGGGGTTGATTTACTAAAACTGGAGGGTGCAAGATCTGGTGCAGCTGTGCATGGTAACCAATCAGCTTCTAATTTCATCTTGTTCAATTAAGCTTTGACAATAAAACCTGGAAGCTGATTGGTTTCTATGCACAACTTCACCAGATTTTGCCCTCCCCAATTTTAGTAAATCAACCTTATTTTGTATGGTTGAACAAAACGTACTATGAAATATTATAGAATGATAATATTTGCTCACTTTGTTTATTATTTTATACTATATTACTATTTCTGTGTTCATTTTGTAGTCCTACCAGATTGTATTACTCTGCAGAATAATTTTTCAGTTTATAAATAAGAGAGGATTATACATGTGAAATGCATATTTTTCAGCATAAAACAATTTTACATCAGTCTTCTGAAAAAGGAAGATAATACAACAGATGGGTTTAACCCCTTTGTTATCATAGTCCTCAAATAGTCTTGTTGGGTGATTATTCATTTATTGATGATTCTTTTCCTGGTTTCCTTATAGCTTTTTTTTCCATTGTAGTTTGTCCATTTTAGCATTATATCTCCCTTCAGCTATCAGATTGTTCTGCTTTAGATTTTCACCCTGACAGGCACACACACAGTATTGATTGTTATTCCTGTCATTCTTTGAGGCACTGAGTGAAGATAAAATATGGCCAGTTATCCTATTTACTATATCTGCTATTTGTGTTTGTTTTTTTTCTAAAAAAAAAACGTTTAATTCCATCTGCATTTTTTTTAGGTACTTTGGACAATATATGCTAGTTATATAATGCAGTAATTTGGTAAGAAAGTTGCTACACATACATTAGTTTTTATATTAGTACATTTATATTCTACAGTAGTATACAAGTGGTTGTATGTACTGTACTGTTTCAAGATCTCTGTATGACCATACAGCTCGAAGCAATGACTGTGAAATACAGTATCACTGTAAATTCTTTGTTATTTAAATAACAAAGCTAACTAAATTTACGAATTGATAAACCTTTTGACATTGTGTGTGTGAATATACATATTTATTTATTTTTTTAAGTTTCTAATGCATACTTCACAAACAGGGGCGGACTGACAACTCATGGGGCCCCCGGGCGATAGGGGATCACGGGGCCCCTGTGTCCTTGCCTAAACTCAAAAAAGCCTATTAAAAAGGTACCAGGGGCACCTCATGGGGCCCCCTACTGACCCTGGGCCCTCAGGCAGTTTCCAAATGGGCAGTCCGCCCCTGTTCACAAATATATTATTGTACATACCAATAATAATTTCCTTTTTTTTTAAGACTCTAGTCATACAGGTCTATAGAAAAGAAATGAGTGACAGTGTTTTCAATCACTAATTTTAAATTAATATTTTGGTACTTTTATGTCAATGCAATAAATGCTTTTTAACATGTTATGCATTCATTTGGCAGTATTATGTAATAGATCAGATAGAATGTGATACATTTATTTAATTCTGTTTTTTTTTTACAGAATGTATCTTCTACAGTAAATGTCTTCTGCTTACAACTGTAAATACCATTTTCACAGACATATTTTATTAATATTCATTTGTTCTTCACTGCACTTATTATTTGCAGAGCAAGGTACTGTTTGGTTGTTTCAGAGCCTATAAGTTGCTTTATCATTCACCCAGCTGCTTAACTTACTACAGACCAGCTAACAGTCTGTAGTCCTACCAATTAGTTCATTATGCTACACATTGAAACTCAAGAATTCTTCAGAGTTCAGATAATGAAAGAGATCCTTGGCTTTTCTACCTTTTTTTTTTTCAATCAAATAATTCACCCAAACCACTCAACATTATTAACAAAATCCTATGCATCCATACTACTGGATATAGTAAAGCATTAAAAAAAATCAGATGTTAATGACTGTCTGCAATGCTTAATCCTATATATCCACTATCCAGCTTGTCTCAGAGAATAAACTAACATATCCTTCAATAACCCATTTTACATGTACATTTACCAAGTTGACTTTTATATGTATCTGAAATGCTAATCTTTTACAGTATTTACTTTTTTCTTTAACATGTTAAAAATGTTTGTTTTCTCACAAACAGCAACTTTTTCAATGATCCTTAAAACATGTTTTTTATATATGAAACAGTGTGCAACTTAAATATAAAATAAGCAGCACTAACATATACTATTTATTCCAAATTAAATAAAATATGAAACTGTTAACAATTTTTTTGTTTATGATGATAACGGTGGAATATACTTACATTTAATTATGCATTTTCATTTATAAACATTCTTATAAATTTTATTTGATTTTCATTTTAAATGTACATATTCTGTAATAAAAGTATAGTTTACCCTTTGTAGCACAAAACATCTTAGCAGCTATGCAGTAAATGTATTTATCTGAAAAGTTTTTAAATCATAAGCAATAGGGATATTCCATATAATCCACAAATATCTCAATTGTTTATGAGTAGTTAACTGTGTCACAGCTAAAAAACAATATATACAGTTTTTTACAATTTATTTTTAAGTTGTAGTTTATAAATTTAGCAGTTAGATCTGCACAGAAGAATTTTTTTTTTACAATCACTTTATTGGTAAGTATTTAAATCTGCACAGAGGAATTTCTTTAAAATCATTGTATTATTTAGTATTTAAATCTGCACATACGCATGTTTATTTACAATCCTATTGTTGTTTACTATTTGTTCTAAATATGTCACGTATTTACCTACCTGCAGCTTGGTTTCTTCAAATGGTAGTCCAGGTTCACTTGTCATCCACTCATAGCTGCCCCTGCCTGCATGTCCAAATTTACTCCAGCTGCTGTCCAAGAGCCACCGCATTCTATCAACTGATGTTTTCTGTTGCCTAAATTCCAATTCACAAGGTGCCGACTTTCCCACAATCCCCCTCTGCGCCTGCCTTGACACAGCTGGAGGCCTGAGAGCTAATGATCATTGGTATAAGTTCTCTTGTGTTATTAACAACAGTGGAAAAAAAAAACCCCACGGTTAGGCTACACTATCAGCCCAACTCAATCTCTCTGGATTTGTTACGGTGGCCTACATTACCAGAGAGCTGGCATCAGGTATCAGGAAAGGGCAGAGCTATGATTGGACGGTTTTCTCTGCATTAGGATTATTAAAGGAGAATTTGCCAGCACATGGTCTGATTCTGAAGAGATAACCTTCTAAATTTAGATTATGTACTATAAGAAACCCTTTTAAAATCGCCCAATGCAAAACAAAACAATAAAAATCTGCTTTTTTTTCCCTCCACGATTTCTAGCATGTGAACCGCAGATGTAAACAACGAAGTATTCTTCAGAGAAGAGCAATAAAGGTCAGAGGCAGCAAGGACATGGGCTAAGTGACATGCTGAATTATTTAGAACCATTAGCATTTAGATGTTAATGATAAATCTGTGGAAAGCTTTTAGCCTATAAAAGGTTCTCGCTATTTGGAATATATGATGATTACGCGCAGACTGCAAAAACCAGAGTCACAAACTACTAGTGCAAACAATATTCCCTAAAGATCAGATTTAACTCATTCTACCCTCTGGTTCCTGTCCCTATTTGACAATATATTGTATCTGTGGATTTTTAGTTACCTAATGATGTTTGATTTGCATACCTTTGTATCCTTTGCACAGGACTGGGTATCCCAAGGGAAGCCACCACACTCTATGTGTGAGGTAAATGACTAGGTGCTCACCCTCAGCTTTGGGTTCACATTGATGCGGTGTGGAATTTGCAGTGTTTTCTGTGCAAATTCCGCACCGCATCAGAATTGCACCCCGTTCATGCAAACCGCTGTGGGTGTGTACAGGGGTGGACTGACCATTTGGAAACTCGGGGCACTGCCCGAGGGCCCAGGGTCAGTATGGGGCCACATGAGATGCCCTTGGTACCTTTTTCATAGGCTTTTTTAAGTTTGGGCAAGGACACAGGGGCCCCATGATCCCCTATTGCCCAGGGGCCCCATGAGTTGTCAGTCCACCCCTGGGTGTGTATGTTAACAACACCCCAAAATCGGTCCGCAAAATGTGTGATGTGCAGAATCGGATCGCATAGGTGTGAATACTAGAGATGAGCGAATCGAACATGGCGAAGTGGAATTCGTTTCGAAGATCAGGAAAAATTTGATTCGCGCCGAATCCGAAAATTAGCAAACTTCGGATGCACGAAAAATCGAATTTTCCCAAAAATGGCGGCGACATGTGTGGCGACGGAGCGGGGATCTCTGGGAAGGCGTGCAGACAAGGCGCGCTGACCCATAATGCATTCATTCATGACATGTGATCGCATTAGCCAATCAGCAGCCAGCCAGCCAGCACTGTGTAATGGTGGAGCTATAAATTGCGGCCATCTTACAATTCTCCATTAGCCTCCGGTCATTCAAGAGAGACAGACCTGTCTGTATTAGGGACAGCGTTAGGGCCAGAGAGACTTTAGGGCCACAGAATCGTTACTTAGGGACACAGAATCATTACTTAGGGACACAGAATCGTTACTCAGGGACACAGAATTGTTACTCAGGGACACAGATTCGTTACTCAGGGACAGACACAGAATTGTTACTCAGGGACACAGAATTGTTACTGAGGGACACAGAATCGTTACTCAGGGACACAGAATTGTTACTCAGGGACACAGAATCGTTACTCAGGGACACAGAATTGTTACTCAGGGACACAGAGTTGTTACTCAGGGACAGACACAGAATTGTTACTCAGGGACACAGAATCGTTACTCAGGGACACAGAATCGTTACTCAGGGACACAGAATTGTTACTGAGGGACACAGAATCGTTACTCAGGGACACAGAATCGTTACTCAGGGACACAGAATTGTTACTCAGGGACACAGAATCGTTACTCAGGGACACAGAATCGTTACTCAGGGACACAGAATCGTTGAATTAAAGAGTATGTCAGACAACACGCAGAGGAGTGGCAGAGGAGGCAGTGTTTCAGGAGCGAGCAGACGTGGCAGCAGAGGAAGGGGTCGAGGCAGCACTAGTCGCAGCCAGAGGCCAGTGCTCCCCGGTGTCATCCAGTGGTCGTGACTCCACCGACAACCCTGCCGTCATCGATTGGTTGGCTCGTCGGTCGTCTTCCTCTTCCCAGGTCACCTCTGACACCTACAGCCAACGGTCGGTGGGTACGTCAGACACAATCGTTAGTTAGCATGGCCCGGGAGCAAGCCCACTGAAATCACGTGTCCTCTACCTGCCCCTGTCCTTTGGTGTTCCCTCACCAAGCGAAGTATCGCATGCTGTGGGCTCAGCCCCACTGTACAGTGAGGAAGAGCTAACAGAGGGCGGTCAGGAACGGGGGGAGATATCCGCCTCTTCAGCAGCCAGGCGAAGAAGTACTGGCGAGGAGAGTGGCTCGGTAGCCGGTCTAGAGACAGGTCTGTCTCCTGACCCACACGCAGCCGAGGGGGCTAGTAGTGAGGCGGAGACCCTAATTGATGATTGATGAGGCTGATCGCACTTGGCAGCCTCGTTGTCATCTGCCAGGCCCGTAATCTGCCATGGGCCCCCGTACCGACTCCTCATGCTGCTGCCAGGCCCGTAATCTGTCATGGGCCCCTGTACCGCCTCCTCATGCTGCTGCCAGGTCCAGAGTGTGTCATGGGTCCCTGTACGACCTCCCATTGCTGCTGTCTCCATCGCCACACTCTGCCATGCCATGTGCCACTTTCAGGTCTCCTCACACTGCTGGTGGGTTCCATTTTGTCATAGGGTGCTGGCAGATTAGGGGCCTCCCATTGCTGCTGCCAGGCCCGTAATCTGCCATGGGCCCCCGTACCGACTCCTCATGCTGCTGCCAGGCCCGTAATCTGTCATGGGCCCCTGTACCGCCTCCACATGCTGCTGCCAGGTCCAGAGTGTGTCATGGGTCCCTGTACGGCCTCCCATTGCTGCTGTCTCCATCGCCACACTCTGCCATGTGCCACTTTCAGGTCTCCTCACACTGCTGGTGGGTTCCATTTTGTCATAGGGTGCTGGCAGATTACGGGCCTCCCATTGCTGCTGCCAGGCCCGTAATCTGCCATGGGCCCCCGTACCAACTTCCTCATGCTGCTGCCAGGCCCGTAATCTGTCATGGGCCCCTGTACCGCCTCCTCATGCTGCTGCCAGGTCCAGAGTGTGTCATGGGTCCACTGTACGGCCTCCCATTGCTGCTGCCAGGCCCGTAATCTGCCATGGGCCCCCGTACCGACTCCTCATGCTGCTGCCAGGCCCGTAATCTGTCATGGGCCCTGTACCGCCTCCTCATGCTGCTGCCAGGTCCAGAGTGTGTCATGGGTCCCTGTACGGCCTCCCATTGCTGCTGTCTCCCATCGCCACACTCTGCCATGTGCCACTTTCAGGTCTCCTCACACTGCTGGTGGGTTCCATTTTGTCATAGGGTGCTGGCAGATTACGGGCCTCCCATTGCTGCTGCTGCCAGGCCCGTAATCTGCCATGGGCCCCCGTACCGACTCCTCATGCTGCTGCCAGGCCCGTAATCTGTCATGGGCCCCTGTACCGGACCGCCTGCCATTGTCCATCATGCTGCTGCCAGGTCCAGAGTGTGTCATGGGTCCCTGTACGGCCTCCCATTGCTGCTGCCAGGCCCGTAATCTGCCATGGGCCCCCGTACCGACTCCTCATGCTGCTGCCAGGCCCGTAATCTGTCATGGGCCCCTGTACCGCCTCCTCATGCTGCTGCCAGGTCCAGAGTGTGTCATGGGTCCCTGTACGGCCTCCCATTGCTGCTGTCTCCATCGCCACACTCTGCCATGTGCCACTTTCAGGTCTCCTCACACTGCTGGTGGGTTCCATTTTGTCATAGGGTGCTGGCAGATTACGGGCCTCCCATTGCTGCTGCCAGGCCCGTAATCTGCCATGGGCCCCCGTACCGACTCCTCATGCTGCTGCCAGGCCCGTAATCTGTCATGGGCCCCTGTACCGCCTCCTCATGCTGCTGCCAGGTCCAGAGTGTGTCATGGGTCCCTGTACGGCCTCCCATTGCTGCTGTCTCCATCGCCACACTCTGCCATGTGCCACTTTCAGGTCTCCTCACACTGCTGGTGGGTTCCATTTTGTCATAGGGTGCTGGCAGATTACGGGCCTCCCATTGCTGCTGCCAGGCCCGTAATCTGCCATGGGCCCCCGTACCAACTCCTCATGCTGCTGCCAGGTCCAGTAAATCTGTCATGGGTCCCTGTACGGCCTCCATTGCTGCTGCCAGGTCCCGTAATCTGCCATGGGCCCCCGTACCGACTCCTCATGCTGCTGCCAGGCCCGTAATCTGTCATGGGCCCCTGTACCGCCTCCTCATGCTGCTGCCAGGTCCAGAGTGTGTCATGGGTCCCTGTACGGCCTCCCATTGCTGCTGTCTCCATCGCCACACTCTGCCATGTGCCACTTTCAGGTCTCCTCACTGCTGCTGGTGGGTTCCATTTTGTCATAGGGTGCTGGCAGATTACGGGCCTCCCATTGCTGCTGCCAGGCCCGTAATCTGCCATGGGCCCCTGTACCGACTCCTCATGCTGCTGCCAGGCCCGTAATCTGTCATGGGCCCCTGTACCGGTCTCCTCATGCTGCTGCTGCAGTCATAGATCCAGAGTGTGTCATGGGCCCTGTACGGGCCTCCATGCTGGCTGCTGCCAGGCCCGTAATCTGCCATGGGCCCCCGTACCGACTCCTCATGCTGCTGCCAGGCCCGTAATCTGTCATGGGCCCCTGTACCGCCTCCTCATGCTGCTGCCAGGTCCAGAGTGTGTCATGGGTCCCTGTACGGCCTCCCATTGCTGCTGTCTCCATCGCCACACTCTGCCATGTGCCACTTTCAGGTCTCCTCACACTGCTGGTGGGTTCCATTTTGTCATAGGGTGCTGGCAGATTACGGGCCTCCCATTGCTGCTGCCAGGCCCGTAATCTGCCATGGGCCCCCGTACCGACTCCTCATGCTGCTGCCCAGGCCCGTGTATCTGTCATGGGCCCCTGTACTGCCTCCTCATGCTGCTGCCAGGTCCAGAGTGTGTCATGGGTCCCTGTACGGCCTCCCATTGCTGCTGTCTCCATCGCCACACTCTGCCATGTGCCACTTTCAGGTCTCCTCACACTGCTGGTGGGTTCCATTTTGTCATAGGGTGCTGGCAGATTACGGGCCTCCCATTGCTGCTGCCAGGCCCGTAATCTGCCATGGGCCCCCGTACCGACTCCTCATGCTGCTGCCAGGCCCGTAATCTGTCATGGGCCCCTGTACCGCCTCCTCATGCTGCTGCCAGGTCCAGAGTGTGTCATGGGTCCCTGTACGGCCTCCCATTGCTGCTGCCAGGCCCGTAATCTGCCATGGGCCCCCGTACCGACTCCTCATGCTGCTGCCAGGCCCGTAATCTGTCATGGGCCCCTGTACCGCCCAGGCCTCATGCTGCTGCTGCAGGTCCAGAGTGTGTCATGGGTCCCTGTACGGCCTCCCATTGCTGCTGTCTCCATCGCCACACTCTGCCATGTGCCACTTTCAGGTCTCCTCACACTGCTGGTGGGTTCCATTTTTTGTCATAGGGTGCTGGCAGATTACGGGCCTCCCATTGCTGCTGCCAGGCCCGTAATCTGCCATGGGCCCCCGTACCGACTCCTCATGCTGCTGCCAGGCCCGTAATCTGTCATGGGCCCCTGTACCGCCTCCTCATGCTGCTGCCAGGTCCATCGCCAGAGTGTGTCATGGGTCCCTGTACGGCCTCCCATTGCTGCTGCCAGGCCCGTAATCTGCCATGGGGCCCCCGTACCGACTCCTCATGCTGCTGCCAGGCCCGTAATCTGTCATGGGCCCCTGTACCGCCTCCTCATGCTGCTGCCAGGTCCAGAGTGTGTCATGGGTCCCTGTACGGCCTCCCCATTGCTGCTGTCTCCATCGCCACACTCTGCCATGTGCCCACTTTCAGGTCTCCTCACACTGCTGGTGGGGTTCCATTTGTCATAGGGTGCTGGCAGATTACGGGCCTCCCATTGCTGCTGCCAGGCCCGTAATCTGCCATGGGCCCCCCCGTACCGACTCCTCATCATGCTGCTGCCAGGCCGTAATCTGTCATGGGCCCTGTACCAGCCTCCTCATGCTGCTGCTGCCAGGTCCAGAGTGTGTCATGGGTCCCTGTACGGCCTCCCATTGCTGCTGCTGTCTCCATCGCCACACTCTGCCATGTGCCACTTTCAGGTCTCCTCACACACTGCTGGTGGGTTCCATTTTTGTCATAGGGTGCTGGCAGATTACGGGCCTCCCATTGCTGCTGCCAGGCCCGTAATCTGCCATGGGCCCCCGTACCGACTCCTCATGCTGCTGCCAGGCCCGTAATCTGTCATGGGCCCCTGTACCGCCTCCCTCATGCTGCTGCTGCCAGGTCCAGAGTGTGTCATGGGTCCCTGTACCCTCCCATTGCTGCTGTCTCCATCGCCACACTCTGCCATGTGCCACTTTCAGGTCTCCTCACACTGCTGGTGGGTTCCATTTTGTCATAGGGTGCTGGCAGATTACGGGCCTCCCATTGCTGCTGCCAGGCCCGTAATCTGCCATGGGCCCCCGTACCGACTCCTCATGCTGCTGCCAGGCCCGTAATCTGTCATGGGCCCCTGTACCGCCTCCTCATGCTGCTGCCAGGTCCAGAGTGTGTCATGGGTCCCTGTACGGCCTCCCATTGCTGCTGTCTCCATCGCCACACTCTGCCATGTGCCACTTTCAGGTCTCCTCACACTGCTGGTGGGTTCCATTTTGTCATAGGGTGCTGGCAGATTACGGGCCTCCCATTGCTGCTGCCAGGCCCGTAATCTGCCATGGGCCCCCGTACCGACTCCTCATGCTGCTGCCAGGCCCGTAATCTGTCATGGGCCCCTGTACCGCCTCCTCGCCAGGTCCAGAGTGTGTCATGGGTCCCTGTACGGCCTCCCATTGCTGCTGTCTCCATCGCCACACTCTGCCATGTGCCACTTTCAGGTCTCCTCACACTGCTGGTGGGTTCCATTTTGTCATAGGGTGCTGGCAGATTACGGGCCTCCCATTGCTGCTGCCAGGCCCGTAATCTGCCATGGGCCCCAGTACCGACTCCTCATGCTGCTGCCAGGCCCGTAATCTGTCATGGGCCCCTGTACCGCCTCCTCATGCTGCTGCCAGGTCCAGAGTGTGTCATGGGTCCCTGTACGGCCTCCCATTGCTGCTGTCTCCATCGCCACACTCTGCCATGTGCCACTTTCAGGTCTCCTCACACTGCTGGTGGGTTCCATTTTGTCATAGGGTGCTTTATGGCCTCCCATTGCTGCTGCCAGGCCCGTAATCTGCCATGGGCCCCCGTACCGACTCCTCATGCTGCTGCCAGGCCCGTAATCTGTCATGGGCCCCTGTACCGCCTCCTCATGCTGCTGCCAGGTCCAGAGTGTCTCATGGGTCCCTGTACGGCCTCCCATTGCTGCTGTCTCCATCGCCACACTCTGCCATGTGCCACTTTCAGGTCTCCTCACACTGCTGGTGGGTTCCATTTTTTCATAGGGTGCTGTATGGCCTCCCATTGCTGCTGCCTCCACCGCCACACTGTGGCTCCACACTCCACACATCGACGGCACTCATCTGCATGTCATACTGACTGACAGTATTATTTCTCTTCCCAGCAGACTCCAAGGGCATTTAAATTAAAGGTACAGTGTTCTGCACTAATATAAAGGCTCTCTGAAGCCTAGAAACACCCTTTTTATAAGTTAAATTCGCAGCGAATATATTCGACTCGAATCGAATTTATTCCGCGAATTCGCCGAATCAGCCGAATCGAATTTTTGAATAATTCGCTCATCTCTAGTGAATACCTATGCGATCTGATTTTAGTGCGGACCAAAAAAAAGGGGTCCTGCACCTTTTTGGTGTGGATGAGGTGCAATTTGAACCATACAAAATGTATGGCTCCAATCGCACCGCACACAAATCGCATGTGATTTGCACAGGAATGCGGTGCGGTTCCTGTGCGAAACAAATGCAATATACCACACCGCATGTATGTGAACTCAGGGTGAAAGAAAGCCATGCAAGTGCAAAACTGGTATAAAAGCACTCATGGGTC